TCCAGACCCTGAAGTCACACAGGCCAGGGCAGGAAGGATCAGAGCGTTTTCCCTGGGACTGCGGATCCCTGCAGGCCTCTATGTCCATTTCCTTGTTCTCTTCCCCCAAATTACACCGACTCCTTTGGCGCTGTGGCCCCTGGGCATAGTGGTTTGGCGCCGGCATCGTGCAGGGTACCGAGAGAGAGATGTGCTCACACGCGGAGTCTGAGCAGTCCAGTCCCGGGTGCACCGGGGAGAAGTCAGGGGCATGTGGGGGGCGGGGGGAGCTGGCCTCCCACTGCGGCCTGGCTACGGGAGGTGTCTGCCGCCTGCCTGGGCGCTCAGGCCCTGTCTCGCAACCGCAGGTCTGACTCAGGAGATGAGCAGTTCCCAACTATTTGCCGGGAAGATCCAGAGGTACACGGCTACTTCAGCGACCCCCGCTGCTTGGAGGAGCAGGAGTATTTCAGTGGTGAGGAGGGCTCTGAGGATGCCGGCTCACCGGCCGGGAGCAGGTGAGCGGCTCTGCGGCTCGGGCTGACGGTAGGAGGCCTGGCTGTCTCCCGCCCCTCGTGCCCTGAAGCCAGGGCCCATGTGCACTACACCTGGCCTGCTCTGGGAAGTGAGGCAGAGCACAGACTCTGGGCCAGAGGGAAAGCGGGAGCAGGAGAAATAGGGCCAGGAAGGCAGGGTGGAGGCTGCTCTTTCAGACCAGCTGCTACCAGGGCCCCGAGTCTTCCGTGAGGCCGAGGACTGCCTTGCTCTCAGCCAGTCCAGGGTGTTCAAGAAAGGTGGGTCTGTCCGAGCTGACAGGCAGGACTTGTTAACTAGAATCTCGGGCGCCCCTTACCGTCTCTTTTGGCCTTTTTGACCACCAGGCAGAACTACAGCTACTACAATAGATACCCAGGCAGCAACTGGGACTTCGAGCGGCCTCGAGGCTACCATCACCCCCAAGGCTTCTTGGAAGATGACGACTCACCCATTTGCTATGACTCTCGGAGATCTCCAAGGAGACGCCTACTACCTCCCACCCCAACATGTGAGGCCAGATTTTTTGTTTTGGGTGAAGCCTTCCAAGGAACAGTGTGCCCCTCCCCCAACCCCAGCCCCCCCGGGGGAGTGTGACAAATGTGGTCCTGCTTTGTTAGGGACTGTCAGCCCTCCAACCTCCCCTGGTTGGAGATCCTACCGACTTTCCTTTCTGTCTCATCTGTATCTCACGTGATAGAGCTCGGACAACTTTAGTGCTGTTCTTGACTCTCTGAGAACAGAGGAAGGCAGTATGTGGCCTAAATGTCCATAGTATGTGGCATCTGATAAGGGGCTTTTTGTGCATGTTATTATTGCCTTTGAGCCCGAGGCCCATCCTGTGAGGTAGGTAAGATGTGTGCCATGTCGTTGTTAGGCCCTCTCCTGACAGAGGAGGGTGGAAGGGATCAGCCCTGTGCAGAGCTGGACCTGAGCCCAGGCCTATCCCACCCAGCCCCACGCCTCTGAAGGCCACCTGGGGACTCTTGATGTCCATCTCTTCTCAGTCCCCACCAGGGAGTGCGCCCCTCACCTCCCCGTCCCCCCGTCTTTCATCTTTGCCATGGGTCAGCCAATGCCATCGTTCACGGGGCAGGTTTTGGCCTTGGTGGTGACTTCTAGGGTCAGCACCCCCATCCTGGGGCTGGAGGAATCCCATCCTGCTGAGAAGACGTGGGGGCTGGCTGCTCCCCACCTGTTTTGCCTATGCAGGTGGCCTAAGCAGTGCTGCAGGAGATCTGGGTCACCCCAAGTGAGGAACGTGGGCTGGGGTAAGAAATGTAGCAGTGGCCCCTGCTGCTCCCGGCCGGGGAGTTTGATTTTGCACATGTGGGCATTTTGGTGATTGGTTAAAAAATATCCATTCCTGGTGTTTCTGAGGAATGAAGTGTATTTGTGAGTAGGACTCTAATCAGGAACCAAAAATAGCCAAGACATGTTGGCTCCGAGTCTGCTAACTCCGCGTGCAATACCAAGTGTGGCTGGGTGGCGCCTGGGGCCCTCTGCCTCTCTCCAGCTGTCACTGACCTGCTGGGGAGTGTAATCAGACCCATTTCCATGGTTAATATTTAATTCTGCAGCCCCAAACACATGCTGTAAACAGAGCAATCCTGAGCTCCATAAATACTGGATGACACATGCAGGTGAGGCCAGGTAGAGCCCCTGGCCCACCAGAGGACCATTGCCCTCCCTGGACCTCCCTGTGTCCCCTGTGGTGGCCACATTAATGCCCACCATTCAGGGGCTCTGCCCTGGTGAAGCTGAGTGGGCTAGAGCAGATGCCCTTTGTATTCGTAAGGGCAAATAAATAAAATGTATTTTATTTGCTTTACTGCCCATCAGTTCAGACGTTGGGCAGGGAGGAAAACATGGAAGTCTTCAACCTATGTTCTCAGCCACAGTGGGATTGCTTCTTCTGTCAGAGGTGGTTGTGCACAGCAGATGAGATGACAGGTGTACGCGGACCGATTTTCAAAACTGAAAGGCACTCCCCAAATGAGAGGGATGGTGGCTTCCTCTCCTGGCTCCGAGCCTCTGGCCCTTGCCATCTGATCCTAGGACGGTCCTAGAGGGTGTGCAGCCAGGGGAGGCCCATCCCCCGTGTGGTGCATGGAGGACAGCAGCTGTCATGCAACTCAGCGAGGAGGAGGGGGCCCGGCATGCCCACAGGGCAGAGCCAGCCAAGGGCTCAGCCCAGTCTTCATGCACTTTTAGATTAGAGCTCACAGAACCTGGTTTCTGCAGCTCCACGTGTGGTCCCAGGAGGCCTGGGAGGCTCGCCTCTGCAGTTTTCCAGTACAGGAATTAGGGGTGTGCAGCGTTTTGCTGGGGCATGACAAATGCCCTGGGATCTTAGAAAGCAGAGGTTAAAGAGACCTCGCTCCTGCCTTGCAAACTATCAGGCCCCCAAGCAGTGAGCCAGCACCTTTGGAGGGTGGAGCTGTTTCCAGAGTCAGCCTCTGGCCTGTGCTTGGGGGCCCAGGATTCAGACTGACCTCCTGGATCCCTTGTCATCGCTCAACCCCATGCAGGAGCTTTTCTTTAAAGTGGGCGTTAATAGGACAACCATGTTCTTTATCCTTAGAGGTGTTCTTTTCTGGTTTTGTCTTCAGTGCTAGAGAAGCTGGGTCTTTCCCAACAAAAGAATTTGCTTCGTATCTGGCTGAGCTGGTAGCAGGTCACCCCCCCACCCCTTAAAGCAGGTAGAAGCACGGGAGCACCAGCGAGAGGCCATGTCCCCCAGAGACACTTAGGATGTCTGCAGGGTGAGAAGGGGGTCAGTCAGCAAGCAGCCGTAGGATTCTAGAATGACCTTGTTGTTCTTGGCCTGAAACGCTGTGCTCCCACAACGTATCCACAGGGCCGGGGCTTCGAATCAGAACAGCCGCACTCCGGAGCCTTTAGCTCTGCCCCGTGAGAACAGGCACTGCATTCACAAGAAACCAGCTTGAACTTGTTAAAAACGTCCCTCGGCTGGGCAGCTTCTTCATCCTCACTCCCAAAGTTCTGAGGCCTCCCTGCCTGATGCTTTTCCTCGGACCTGTCGCTTACTTCCTCTTGGGCTCTCTGCTGAATGTCCAGCGGGCCACCCTCAACCCCAGGGCCCCGGGGTCCTGACAGAGCGCTCGGTTCACAAGTGCTGCTGTGCTTCACTTCTCAGCCCGCCGGAGATCCTCCTTCAACTTCGAGTGTCTGCGCCGGCAGAGCAGCCAGGAAGAGGCCCCGCCGCCCCCCGCCTTCCCCCACCGCACAGCCCTGCCCCTGCACCTGATGCAGCAGCAGGTGAGCTGGTCCACCTGGCCTGGACATCACGGGCCCGATGGGCACCCTGCATGGGACCCACCCTCAGGACACCCCCTTCTCTCTGACTGCCGGCAGCAGGAGGGTCAGAGAGAACCTTCATGTTGCACTCGGGTTCAATCCTGTAGCAACCCTATCAAATAGATACGATCGTGAACCCATTTCACAGATGAGCAAATGTCAGGGACAGGGTAGGTGGCTTGCCTGAGCTCACACAGGGGGTGTGTAACCAAGTTGGCATTTGAATCCAAGGCTGCCAGCTTCCAAAGCTGGGCACTCAGCCTTGGTGCACGCTGCCTTCTGTCCTGGGTGCAGGAGATGGGATCTGGTACAACCCCTGACCCAGGGAGTGGCGACCGTTTGCCTGATCCTGAACAATTAGTGCGGCCCTTTATTTGTTCTGAGACGTTGTTCTTTCATTAAAACACGTCTCTAGAGCCCTCTGCGGGCAGGGTCCTGTGGCCCCAAGGGGGCGGGGTGAGCCCCCAGCCCAGACTGTGAGGGGCTTGTGGTTCAGGGAGGAGGACCGTCCACAGTTAGGTGGTTGGACAGGAGGGGGCCCAAGGTCTGAAGGGAGGGTGGGGGTGCAGCCCACTCACCAGGGCTTTGCCTCAAGGACAAGAATATGGTACTTTTTCGTCCTGAAAAGAGCGCATTGGAGATGCCGTCCACCATGTATGTGTGTCGGTAGGGGAGGCGTGCAGGGAGCACCCAGTCCGTACATGTGCAGAGAGCCAGCTCGCCCTACATGAGCACACGAACACTAGCTTCCACTACGGGTCTCTGCCAACTTTTTACTCTTCTGCCTTCGGTTTTTATATTAATTTTTAATCATGTCCTACTTTATTGTGAAAGGACAAAGTTTGGGCAGGCCCAGCCGTCAAATGCCATGAACCAAGTAGGCACAGAAGTCTACACGAGCACATGTGTGAAAATGCCCTTCCCTCTGCCGTCCCGTCCCAATGAGGGCCTGGTTCGTGTCTGCCCTGCCTCCCTCGGGCGGCCACGGCTTCCAGTGGGCCACAGGACTGTGCTGTTCACAAGGCCGGGCGTCCGGGGCCCTCTGTGCAGAGGGAGCATCAGGACGCACCTGCTGTGGTGCAGCTCTAGGTGGGAGGAACAGACCCTGTGCCAGCTGCTGTGAGGTCTTGCATTAGAGAAAGGGATCTGTGCTCCTTCCCAGGGCTGGGAACTGCTCGTTTGCCCCGAATGGACTTCATATTTGAATGTAGAGTGATCTGGCTGGTATGTTCACATGCCACAGGGCCAGTGTCTTCCCTAATTCTCCACTGCTCAGCAGCAATTTCGTGAATTAGTGGTGGATTCCTACTTGGGAACAGTCATAGGCAGCGCATTTGGGGAAACACAAAACGGTCCGCTAGACAGCCGGCTTTTACCGCCCATGTCCTTTTAAAGTCATTGTCCGAGGCTGCCTTTGTCCAGCTTTTGTGCCTCCTGCTTGGTCTGCGTGAGGCCTGCGGCCTGCACCTGAGGACCTCTGGCCTTCCCACCTCCCCTCTCCCCTCAGATCATGGCAGTTG